TGATGATAATCTAGTTTCAATAAATGGATATAAAGTTTTTCCCCAAGATAGAAATAGTTCCAAGAAAAAATATGGAGGAGGGGTAACCACATTTATAAACACAAGTTGGTCTACATCAAATCACGTTTGCTTCAATTATTCGTATGACAATACAGATTGCATAACCGTCAGGTGTCGCCCAAAACACTTAAGTAAATATTCTTATATATACAAAACAAATATTTACATAACACCCAATTGTAGCCTTTCTAATATAGTTATGTTTGCAGATGAGTTTACTGAATTCGCTGCTCCTGCATTCGGAAACTCGTTGTCTATAGTCTGTGGTGATTTCAATTTATGTGATCACAGCTTTCTTACTTCACTTGGTCATGAGAATCTAGTCAAGTTTAATACACGTCTGGACAAATCACTAGACCTGGTTTTCATAAATGACCGTGATGCATATGAAACCCGAAGGAGAGCTCCTTTGTTAAATTCTGACCACTGCATTATTCGTATTTTACCGAAAGTGTACGGCAAGTTACAACGAAAATTGTTTAGTCATTTAACAAAGAAGATACATGAACGTTCATATTGCCATGATAACATTCTAGCATTAAGAAGCATGTTGCATGATACCAACTGGGAACTATTTACTGACGATAAGTTGGATGCTAATGTCTCTAATATAACCGATTATCTGAAGTTTTGTTTGGAAATTTGCTGTCCATATGAAACACTGTTTTCGAGATTTGACAGAATCTCTTCTGTGCAACTGAAAAAACTTAGAAGACAAAAAGAGAAGTTGTATAAGAATTGTGATAATATTGGTGTCCGTAAAATAAACACCCATATAAGAATTGAAATAGAAAGGTTGAACAGACTGTATAATGAAAAATTTTTATTATGTAAAAATCCTTCAAACATTTGGAAACTTTTCAATAAACTTACAAGTAAAAAACAAATGTCTGTTGATGCTTATTCTGATGTTAATGCTTTAAACAAATCATTTATCAAGAAACAAATTAATATGGTTTTACCTGATGTACCTAGTCAAGAAAATGGTAATTTTCCGGGTTTTAAAGAAAAGGACGTACTGTCATGTTTGAAATCATTAAATCCAACACATAGCCTTGGTCCAGATGGTGTACCAAGCATTCTTCTTCAAAAGTGTGCAGACATCTTGTGTCATCCTCTTACTCAAATCTTTAACGCATCATTTAACAGGGAAACGGTACCTGCTGACTGGAAAGAAATCAAGGTTGTACCTGTACAGAAATCATCTTCTGGAGCATGTATAAAGTTTAGACCGGTAGCTATAACATCTCCTTTTTTGAAAACTATGGAGAAACTTCTTTTGAATATTCTTAAACCTTCTTTAAAAGCTTTCAGTGACCCTAAGCAGTTTGCTTATAAGTGTGGAAGAAGTACATTAGATGCAGCCATTGTACTACACCACAATATTGTTTCCTGCCTTGATAAGGGTGCTAAGTTCGTTCGAACAGCTGTTTTAGACTATACTGCAGCTTTCGACTCTGTTCCTAGGACACTTTTATTAGGCAAGATGAATTCAGCACAAACAGAGTTCTGGGCAACTAGATGGCTGTCTTCTTATTTTAAGGATAGGAAACAGCATACTGTTTTGGCTGGAAAGCGCTCCACTTCTCAGCTAACTGAAAGTGGCGTGCCTCAAGGTGCAGTACTTTCTCCATTTCTTTTCTCTTTCTTTTTGCATGATCTTCCGAAATCACCCAAAGTTAACTTCATTAAGTATGCTGATGATCTGACCGTTTCTGTCCCTGTAGTTTCCACATCGGATTGTTCCCATATGAATGGCTTCTTAGCTGAAGTTAAGGATTGATCTGGCTCAAATGGTCTTAAACTAAATCCAACTAAATGTAACACTGTTGATTTCAGCTTGAGAAGTGAAAAAGACATGCATGGATTGATTCAATCTCATGATTGTTGTAATATTGATGGTACCATGATTGAGAGTAAGTCAAGTGTTTCTTATCTTGGCATTAGTTTCTCGTCAAATCTTTGCTGGTCGTCTCATATTCTTATAGTTTCTAAGAAAGTCTTCCGTCTGACTTGTTACATAAAGAAATTGAGACACTCAGGTATAACTCAATCTCTTATCATACAATTTATTAATTCATGTGTTTTGCCCATCATTCTTTATTGTTCTCCATTATTCTTCCCTGGGCTACTCAAGAAAGATCATATAATACTACGAAGAACATTGAGGGCTGTAAGTAGGGTCAGTGCTATCCCTTTGACTGAACTAAATGACACTGTTGTCAATAGGCATATGAATTCTTGTAAACACTTAGCTAAAGTTATCTTATCTGATAGTGAACATCCTCTTTGTTCACAATTGTTTCCTTGTATCTTTTCGGGTAAGACCAGAAGAAATTTTATAAACATTTATGCTCGTACTACAAAATATAAAAATTCGACCGTTCCATATTTGGCACGAGTATTGTGTGAAGAGACAAATATCAGAAAAAAACTTTTACAACTTTTGAATCAATAACTAATCTATAAAATGTAATGATGCATATTATTATGCATGTGTTATTTGTTATATTATTTATTTATTATTCACTATGACCTAGAAATGGTGTGATTTTGTTGGGTGTTTTTTTTTTGTTTTTTCCTATTAACTATCAATATTTTAACATTTTATACATTTATATAATTATAAACAGAGCTAAACCATTGCAATATGTAAAAGAAACGCTGAAAATTCCATGCTGTAAATTGTTACTGTTGTGGAATAAAGTGATTATTATTACTATTATTATTATATTACATCTGGGTAAAAATTTTGTTCCACTTCAGGAATAAAATGCTAAGAGTATATAAACTTATCCATATCACCGCAAAGACGGTTCGTATGGCAGGGGTGAATGATTACCCAAAATCATCAAACTAAAGTTTCAGAGAGAGTTGATATTGGATATTAATATTCGTTGTTTTAGTGAACTTATGTGGATGAAGACTCTGAGACAAATAACCTCATTATCATTTGCAATGAACTGTTAAACTTAATTGTTCCTGCTTAATTCTTACCTAAATAATTCTTCAGCGAAGTTCAACAATAACACCAGCAGTAGCCATGCAACTCTATGTATACTGATGACTTTAAGTCCCTTAAAATTGAAGTAATTGGTGGATGGTAACAGGCAGTAGAATCAAGGACTCACATCTCGTTCCATTTGGGACAGACCATGCAGAAACATGGTTTCTGTTAGCCGAGACTGACGCCTGTGTTCATGGAATTACTGATGGGCGTTCACAGTTCCTTAAAGTTGTACACAATGTACCGGGGGAATTAGGCGAAAGCGTTGCTGTACAAATGTTCAGTCTAAGGATAAACAACCGCCTCGAGATGATTCCAGCAGCTGTCTTCAAGAGAAACAATCTTTCAGATCGTCAGCATTTTTGTGCGCTCCTCCCCAATGTTGAGCTAAGCGATCATTCGACCATACAAATGCTTGCACAAATGGTTAGCGTCAGGTCGGTGAGGGGCTCTTTAGAGCGTTGTTCCCATCTAGGTTACCACGGGCAGTGAAGGCTGTATTTGTGACACTTCAAGGTGTCGTCATCGACGGTTAGGCGACTTGGGCTAGCAGAATTCTGGAAATGTCTCTGTGGCCGGTCACCGAAATGCGTTCGATAAGTAAACAGCATTCGGTAGTGATAATGATAAAAGGAGTTATACAACTAGATATTTAATAACCAACTAAACTTCGGTAGGACTGATAATGACAACATGACAGAACGCTAAGGATTTATAGCTCAGCTAACAACAAACCAATATAACCAAGTTAATTACACAGGTGGTTGATATAAATACACTGAAAAAGTCTACATTATAAATAAATATAGTATACATCAATAATTTTGATCGTATTGCTCTGGTCTTACAGCAGGCAACATACACTAAGGCCTCAGCAGGTTACCCCAAATGGAACTGAAAATAGGTCTTATAGGTAGGGTCACTAGAGAGCATTTCAGTATTCACTTAAATTGGTAAATGCTGCTAGACTCCTCTGTAAAAATCCTTTAAGCTTATTTTACCACGGAGGTCAGGAGAACTGCTTATCTGAAATCTTTAACTTTGAGATTACCACTGTTTTCAAAATATGAAGTATCTAACACCACTCGAAAAGACTTATTTCTCTGTATTGGTTTATAGGTTCACTGATTTCTCCTTGTCCATGACGAACAGTTCTGTGGACTTCTTGGAAATTCAGCCTCTCACAAATCAACATGGCAAACAACTAAGGAGGTTGAAATTTATGCCGGAGGCTTGTTGAGAAACTGCGTGAATTTTCCTCAGGTATTCCTACATGTGATTGACCCTACACACCTAAATCTGTGTATCCATGGTGGAAAACACTCTGCTTTACAGAAAACCTTCCAGAAATTCTGTGGCGCATTGTTTTGCAAGGTTTATTACTCAGTATTCACCACCTTCCGTTTGCACTAGCCAAAAAAGTAACAACGTATGGTCTACGTAATTTGGACTACGGGAAGGCTAAACGGATCAGATGAGGTATATGTTATGAATTCTGTGCAATTTCCGCAACTATCCTGTCCATAAAAACTATCATTAGGGATGATTTCACCTCGTGAAGAGCTTTGGTGAGTTCCAAACGTACTTCTTAGCAGCTGGCATATTGGAAGATGTCCATGAGCGAATGAAGTTTTTCACTCCTGATCATTCCGTAAACAGAGATTTAATTGTGATATACAGAAATTTAGTGACTAGAACCACCTTGACCTATTCATGTTTTTGCAATCTAATAAGTTGGAGGAAGTTGCACGTTTGTTCAAGAGCTCAAGAAGAGATGTACCTCTAGTTTCCCCACTGACTGGCACTATGAGTTAGCTCTTTTAGGAAAATGTGCATGTGTCTCCAATCTGCTTATCGAGAAGAGTAGTAGTCATAATTTCATATGTTATTATGATGGATAAATGTGGAGTTCAAAATCTTCAATTTCCGATTGCCAACGTGAATCAAGATCTAACTACTTAGAATTTAATTTCTGTTCAATAGGTGCGCTCGTCTTGATTTCTCTACGCTACGCGTTCGCGTTTTTCGTGCGTTCATGGAATCCTTAATCCCGGTCATAAACAAATTGCAAGATGTTTTCAACACAGTAGGAACTGAAACAATCCAACTACCTCAAATTGTTGTCCTGGGAACTCAGGTGGGTTTGTTATAATTCTTCTTATGCTCCTCGTGGGTGACCGGATCATTTTACATCGAACATGTTTCATTTCGCAGAGAAGCAACTTTTATGTCTGCCATTTGTCGTCTAGGTTGTAGAAGTATAGAATTCGGCTAAACATACGTTGTTAACAACGTAATTTTTTCTTAAGGTTATATCACACTTTCTGTACATCTGACAGATAGTTAAGGATGATAGATTACTCTTATATTAAATCTTTCGATTTGGCGTATAGCGGAGAGCTAATGTTTCTTTGGGAAAAATAGAATCAGGGACTAAAGCGATATGCTAAGGCAGAAATTCCACTGGAATGCAATTAATGCGTTGGTAGCACGGCGGTTAGGACTCTCGCAGACTATGCACTTGGCCCGGAGTTCGTTCCCCTGTCGATGCACACTTGATATCAATGGTCGGCCAGCAATATTTGGGCTACCGATATCACATGATGAAAATCCCATACTTGTGCCAAAAATACGTTGTGGAGTCAAGTTATAATCAAAAAATAATAATAAATAGTTGCAAGGATTGTACTTCTGGACTCATTGTATTTGATCGGGGGTTTTGAACTTAAATATTGTAATTGGCTCATTCCAAAGAGATGAAGTAAGCAGGCTGAATCAACACTAGACTCGCTTCATAGGTCGGGGAATAGTGTTACTAGGTCACCCACATCGTTCACATGTAAGTGGAGGTATTACGACAAGATATATACAAATTTAGACAATCCCGTTCCCTCTTATAAGAGTTCATAAATTTCCTTGATCATTTTATCCCCCAACCTTCTACCCTATATGAAATGTTTGTTCCCGTATTTGAGACATGGTCTGGCTACTCTGATTCCACATTCCGAATGACAAAGTCAGTCGACGGCGTAAAGCTGCTTTGGTTGACGTAGTTGATGCTCACAATCTCGGTCACTTTAAGCAAGAATCTCAACATTTAGCATGCGATTCTCACTTGCAAAGTGTAAGATGGCGCTGCAGGGCTGGTCTGTATTGACTCAGTGCAAACATAGGGATTGGAAATGTTGACCATTTCTTTTATTCGGGGATTTGCATCAGTTCTAGTAGACTGATCACTGACATAATCCAAGCATGGATACAAAAAGCTCGTTTGTTATTTTATTACTTCATTTCTAGCCTAGACATGATATCCAGTCAGAAGAAAGGACGTGTACTTGGCAATAGTCCACTGCTCACTGAAAGTGGAAGAGTTGGAAAAGCTAGTTGTATTTCACATATGTTTGCTCTCTATTTCCCCTGTTAATTGATGCAATTTGGTGTATAATATTGAGATTAGATGTAGTGTTAGGTAAGGAGGGTAAGTCAATCGATGAGACTATGAAGCTACATTGGCCAATATGGCTAAGGTATGTGTTACGCACGCCAACCCATCACCTTTCTCGTTGTGCATTGCTAGCTGACTTATGATTAGGTTCGAAAAGGATTAGGGGTAGTCTAGTCAAAAATTAGCATCTATTCATTGAGTCAGTGAGTGCTGGTTTGAGCCAGACACATAGGAAGTGTATACCGTTTGGTTGGAATCACTAGAATGCTGAGAACCATTGGCTTGAGAATATTTTTGGTATAGTCGTTCTCAATGAGGCAAATGTATTCACTCCCCATGAACCTCCAAATTCACTAAATTATTGCGATTTTCAATATAATTGTTTTTTCTCCTGTACATTTCGTTGCATCATGGTTTCTTTGACTTCTCTACTTTTGTGTGCGATTTTGAGTGTAGCCACTGGAACTGCTGCACTTATGTGTGCAGTCCCACATCGAAAGGCCGATCAGTCGTTTCATATTATGTTTCTCATTCTATTCCTCATTCAGAGTTCAGGAAAGAGTTCAGTCCTCGAAAACTTGGTTGGTCGAGACTTTCTACCGAGAGGACCTGGAATTGTGACTCGCAGACCACTTGTTTTACAACTTATTCATGTAGATGAATCAGACCAAGCTACACGCGTTGCTGAAGGTGATGGTACTTCAACTGAATGGGCCACATTTCTACATAATAAGAAAATATTTCGGGATTTCGATGAAGTTCGTAATGAAATTAAAAGTGAAACTGATCGAGTTGCTGGGTCTGGGAAGGTAATTTCCGTTTGCTTATCATGTAACTATTTTTGTACTGTTTTTTTGTATAAAGTAGAAAAATGTTTCATCCAACGTTAGTAGCACATTCATGTCATACTAGTCTAAGTTTTACTTTAATGAATGTCTATGAAAGTACTAAGGTGCAAACACTATCTAGTCACATCAAAAGGTCGATATTATGCACTTCTCTAACATAGTTCCAGGATGAATTATCTGAATGTATATGTAGCGGTTTTCTAAATACCCAATACCCATTATTTTAAGATTCAAAGTTTATATATTTTTCTGAATTAAGAGTTAGTATACTACTGCGAAATCTTGAATCTTTGTATTAACACAGTGATGTCGTGTTAGCACTATCAGGATTCGTAGACAGTTGAATTTTCTAACATTCTTTACCTTAAAAGGCTACTTTTCTTCCTACAAAGAAGGGGGAATCGACCTGGTCATGTTGGTTTAACCATAATAGCTAAATCCAAGTTGTCCCTACCTGTGTCTGACCACACAACAGTCCATACTTATTTCATTTACATTCGATTGAGTTAAATTCGTACTTTACAATCCCTACTATCAGAAACAGAATGCTGTTAGACAGTGTGTGAGCTATTTCTAAATAGGTTCTTTATAATTCCTTAATCGGATAGCAGTAAAAAGATCGTCTCTGAGGTTACTGATTATCCCCTGGGAATACTATGATACACTCCTGTCTTATAAATCATGTTTCCTGTGGTAATTTCACCACTCCCTAAGTCACTTTCCTTATCCTTTAAACATTGTTTTAGAGGCTGGTTGAAGTGTAAAGCTATCTGGCTATCTCCATTAATACAAATCACTGATACGAAGCACATTTTTCATTAATGGTGTTGTTATACCTGTATGTCTTCTCTGATAGAACACAAACGGCTTTGACTTCAGAATTTCGTGTCCTCATGTTTCACAGCGGCTTGAGGTAAGAAGGGGACACTGAAAATTACTTGTCAGGTTAGATTATTATCCGAAGTAAGACCTTTCTTAGCGTAATGTACTGTATGCAAGCCGGTGTGATTACCTTTTAGTTTTAACTGAAAGATCAAAGTAGTAAACAACTGGCTAGTTTCAAGATAGTTTTTCCCCACTTATAGTCATTGGTGTCTCTGATGAGTAATACTCAGCTAAATGTAGATATCTGCTTTTAATGATTCACTGTTGCTCGAAATTGAATTTTTATAACTTTATTATCCAGTTTAACTATTCCACTTGAAATTAACTCCGTATTTCTCATTAAATTTCAGTCTGTCAGTGCAGAACCTATCAACTTGAAGATATTTAGCCCACGTGTTCTCAACCTTACATTGGTCGATCTCCCAGGTATTACCAAAGTTCCCGTTGGTGATCAGCCGGAGGATATTGAATCGCTAATTAATGATTTATGCCTTCCGTACATAAATAATCCAAACAGTGTGATTTTAGCAGTCACACCAGCCAATGCAGATATGGCTACTAGCGAAGGTCTTAAACTAGCTAAGACTGTTGATCCTGATGGTAAGCAAAATAACTGTTAGTATGGCGCTTTTTTCTAATGTATATGGTTTCTATCTGGTCATTAGAGCAATCTGCATGAATTTTGATTTCATATATTTAAATTCATCAGTGAGATAAGCTAAAACCGCAGTCAGTTTGAAAGCAATTATACAACTGCAAAGGATTTAGTATTTATGTATCAGATAATGACTTACAGTTAGTAAAAAGTGAGTAAGGCAGTGTAGGGTACCAGTTTAGATTCCTGAAAATGCATCAATTTCCTTATTTTGTTGAAAGTTTTCAGCTGGTAAGTGTCATTTAGCACAAGGTATCTAATCTCTTAGCTTTAATTACGTGACCTCTCGACCGAGAAGAATTAATTCGTCAGTTTGGAATAAAAAACAATGCAGTCACGAGATTTTAATTGTATTAGTTAGTTAACTGACCTAAGATAATCACATGTGCAACAGCGAATATTTGTCTTCATTAATCAAATTTCAATCTACCAAACGCACTCTAAAAGGCCTTTGTTTATGGTCGAATTAACTTCGAGAAAGAGAGATGCCTCCATTGTTGTCTGTTGCACAGATAAGTAATATTATTGGTTGGTACTCATTTAATAGGTTCTCAGTTTAAAGCATATGCATAGCTGATGTAAAACATTCATTGAAAAAACATCTTATTAAGATACGAGTACTATTACGTTTGAGGTAATTTGAAGTTGTATTACGTCAGTTCTGCATTGATTGGTTGGATTTTAAAGAATCTTCGGTTAGTATTGAAGTAGACCAAATGGTTGAACCTCAAATGAAACGAAGAAGCAGTAGAGATGTGGCTCATTGACTCAAGCATTCGGTTTTAAGCCAATCGGTCACGAGTTCGAGTCCAGCACCACCTACTTCAGCCTGAAAGCTAGGTGGTGTTGCCGGTCTCCGCATGATAAGTGTGGCTTTTAGCCTGATACATGAGAAATCTTCCTCGGGTAGTTCAGCTTAATCAAGTAAAGAAACAAACAAACACGAACCCAGTGGACACTTCAACTTCTTTCATCATGAATACGCTTTCTTTTCATCTTCAATCCCTCGCCCTTTGATCGTAAATACGAGCTTACCAATCACAAATATTTCTGGTAGTATACGTAACTTGTGGTGTAGTGCAATCTGTAAAAAAAAACACTAAAAATGTTGAAGGATAGTGTACATGGCAAAAGGGTATCACAATAGTCTGTAATTCTATACTTGAGACATTTTTTGTTTTCATTCCTTGCTCTCTGAGTGGAACATAGGGCTTTAAGCTTTGAAGTTCCAGTAGCGGTAATGTTATTTTTACGAGGTGTGGCTAATGGCCTCACTCCTAATCTTCCCCTTCAGGCTTACTGTCAGCTACCGCTTGTGTGGCCGATGAACATTATACTACTGAGCCACCGACGCATTGTACATAAGACACACTTCTGTGAAATTAATGCATTTTATCATCCGGATTATGAAACTGTTTTATAAGTGTATCACTAGAAAATTGCTACATAAGTTTTTCTTTGGGTAAATGGCTGAGTTCTTATGAAAACGTTATATTATATCGTTTGCCTTACAACTAGCCTTATATTATACAGTCATGGGCAAAGAAGTACTTCTATTTGTGATTCTAATTGTTTCAAACTAAACGATGGTCATCCAATACTTGGGAATAAAGCATAGGATAACTGTGCATATCAGTGGTTCGGTGGTAGAATATTTGCCAAACACACACATAGTTGCCTCACCCACACACTCCTGGACTTCGTCTAGCCTACAGTAAGCCTACTAAGGAGAAGTTGAGTGTGAGGCTGGGTTCACCTCGTAAAAAACACCACTGTTATTAAAACTTCAAAGTTGAAGCTTGAGGGTCTGTGTCCCACTCAAAACGTAAAGGAATGACAAAATGTAAAAAGGAATAAGATAATGAATTCTTGTGTAAACTCAAAGAATTATGTACATTTCAGAATACACGTAAGCGAACTATATTGTTTTCAACTAGATCTCATTAGGCCTTACTTTAATATACATAAATTTGCAAGTAACTTCTCAAATAAACCAATCATTGTAATTTATGTGTAGGATGCTAAGATGGTGCATATAAATAATAATAATGATCATAATAATATGTAATAAAGATGGAAAAATGGAGCGAGTTGTGATGACAGCGGTAGGAAGAAGTGGTCTGTTTTTGAAAATAAATGTTCAGATTGACGTAGTAGATAAAGGCAAAGAAAAACAAACAGTCAGATTAAGTAATGTTAGATTGTAAGGGAAGTAAAAATAAACTAGGATGTAATGCAGATTCAATAACACCAAGGATGAGTTGCTTTGCAAGGGATAGTGGTAGTAATACTCAGCTGCTTAGATCTTCATTGACCAAGGGGAAAGGTTAATGGCTGTATGAACTTAATTCGAATGTATAATTTAGGCTTAACAATTGAAATACCAATCGCCTTAAATAAATGCAATAGACGAATACAGAGATCATTGGGAAGATTCCGTGGGGGTGTTATGAACCATCTTGAATGCTCTCGTTTTGTTCACTGAGTGGCTACTTCCTGTTCCTTACCAAACCACTATCGAGTATCTTCCGTGGCTCGTTGGCTAAGCTGTTTAGTAGATCAACCAAAAACACGGATTTACAAACCACATATATTCTCTTGTATTATTGTAATCTAGTTGAAATGTTTTTGCCTGTAATCATTCTAATGCTTTAAAATAAATTACTTTACTTATTTACTCTAGGTCGTAGAACTTTGTGCATTTTGACAAAGTTAGATCTTATGGATCACGGGACAGATGCACACGATCTTTTATTAGGACGTGTTGTTCCAGTCAAACTTGGTATAATCGGTGTTGTCAATCGCTCTCAAGCTGACATCAAAGCTGGTAAAACTATCGACGAGGCATTACAAGATGAAGCCACTTTTCTTCAACGACGTTATCCATCCCTTGCTAGCAGAAATGGAACTCCTTTCTTGGCCAGGACACTGAACAGAGTATGTTACGCCATGTATATATTCTGATTCCCACACTCCATCCCTAAGCAGTTTATTAACTAAACACACTTGTTTATTAAAAGTTTACGGGTGGCGTTAGCGAGTTAAATTTCCCTCACTCGACTTTTTCTTAATTGTCATGCTAACCATAGATCTTCCGATAACGTTACTTTAGGCAATTGCCGTATTATATTGAAATAATAATAGTTGATATGGATCTTTTGTTTGCCAAGCGTAAGTAGATTTTGTGTTTACTGATCTGTGTGAGCCAGTCTCGTGTAGAGTTATATGGGTATTGTTTAGGTAAGTTTATTATCTTACCGAGAACTTGAATTAAGTGCAAAATTTAAAAATTGTTTTGATTGTAAATTAGCTGAAATCTGTAGTAATCATTCGATTCAATCAAATTCACAATTTGAAGATTGGTTAGCGATTTACACAGTTCGATTAGTGAAATTTCACTGTTTGAAAAACAAATACATTCTTCACACTGACGATAGCTTGTTCTGCATTTATTCATAGAATCTCGGTTATGGGTAATCTATGTGATTTTTGATAAACATAAACAGAAAATAGATGAAATTACAAAATATCGATGTATAAGTGAACAATTTCCAATCATGCCAACTTTTATAGTGGCTCACAATTTGCAAATTACTTAGTAACTTACAATGTACACAGTTCGAAGGGAGGGACTGAAATTTTCGCGACAGTCTCTTCTTTGGAAACCTAATTATTCCTATCACAATACGTGATCTGCTTGACACCATAGGTGCTTTTGTGATTGTCATTTATGGTATCAAGCAGATCACATATATTGTGATTGGAATAACTTAATTTCCGAAGGAAACTTTGGTGAAATCTCACCACTTAAACTATGTAGGTTAAAAATTGTTAATCCACCTACAGATTGTGAATTTGATTTATGGTATGACCAGTCCGACAAATCAGCCAGCTAGAAATTGGATGGTTTGAAATGATTTGGTTCTCTGAACTGAGTCAAACCTGGTACGCTGCTGATGAGCTTGGCCTCAAACGAGCGAAACAACCATCCAGTGCTTAGATCAACTCGATCTGGCTAGCCAGCAAGCAGTGTTGGTTGATTTGACTGGTCTGCAACTACTTATCTCAATCAATCAGTAGTATATAATCATTCAATAGGTAAGAAAATAACTGTGTACACTCTCATACAGACTACGAAATCAACTTATAAAGTTACAGTGTCAATGGTTGGCAAAATCCTCTTGTTTCAAGAAGAGAGAACTTAAGTAATTAGACTGACGTTAAAACCTGGTGATAAATTTTAATATTTCGTCCTACTTCAAAACGGTCCTTTGCATTTTCTACTTCGTGCGTCCTACACATGGAGACAGTATCCAAGTCGTAAATACATCGATATTACTTCATAATGTCCAAAGATAAGAGGTGCTCGTGTTATCGCTTCGGAATGCTCGTTACATCTATTGGCAGCACTGAACCGATCACATAGGAGTAACGTATTTTCTTGGGAAAGTTATACTATGTTTTGTTTCACCTTTTATTGTGTGACTTACAAATGTGGAGTCTCAAAAGGAATTTTTCCTCTCCAATCACCAATAATATTGATATTTAAGAGTTGAAAGAAACAGAAAGCAGGTTAAACACTATTCGGTATGGTGCTAGAGTGTTCAGATACAAATGAGTCAGAGCTTGAACTAATTAATCGTCTGACTTTACTTGACATTATTTAACAACACGCTGGTACCGTTACGATAAACTGCAGTCTGCTATGGGTTATCTTTCGTTTATATATTGTTGCTTAATTCGTATTAAGTACGAGTAGCATTTTCTACTGTTGAGTGGCTCAGTTGATTAGTACTGTATTTCTCATATATATTAGCTGTACATACAGCAAACAGTTACATAATCAAATCTTGTTTTATATCTGAAAATATTACTGCTTGACCTTAATTTACTTGACCCTAGGATCGATTTCAGCCTTTTTATTCACGTCGTTAATTTATCATATTTACATCATCTCTTTTATGCAATTATTCAGGTTCTTGATTGTTCTCTATTTGTATATCTTTGTTCGATATTATGTCAGTAATGCATGCTGGGGGCACTTTTAAATAGTCTTTTTTATTATTTCGTAAAGATATCCTGATAAGTTGAATTGAAATAGAGTTGAAAGGTGATTGGTGAAATCGTAAAAAGAAGCCTTCGTTACAGAATTATTGGCGGGTTGTAGCTCACTACGTATACAGACAGTCTCATACAAAACAAATTCAACTTTATTAACTTCCGAGATGCTTCAGCAATGCATTGTGTTATGGTTAAATCACTGTTCTCAGATTTATCACCGGGGCTGTAACTCATCTTCGGTAATTTATACCATGGAATTGCTAATGCTGCTAAGAAACATCAACAAAACTTCACTTTTGAAACCTGCTACAATAAAAGATGAAATTCATCAAAGAAGCCCGATTTTGGGTCTATATAACACAGTGACTTCTTCGTAAATATCGGTTGAATGTGTCTATCCCTTTATTTCTGACTTGGTGGTATTCAGCGGCTAGTCAAACCCAGTTTAGAAAGTGTCTTTCTATTATAAAATACCATCATAAGAACTTCTCTATATTATCTTGCTTATGACTCTCTCTTTTTATTTTACCTTTATAGCTTTTAATGCATCATATTAGAGACTGTTTACCTGACTTGAAAACGCGTGTAAATGTTATGGCTGCACAATTTCAGAATCTCTTAAATACCTTCGGTGATGAAATCGAAGACCGAGTAAGTCTTGATTTGCTAGTTTTGTTTTTTGATGTTTCACTTTTGTGAAAGGCCATAGCTATTCATTATATTATCTCATATCCTCTTGTGATAGGGGAGATTTGTAGTTCATGCGGATAGTATTGGTGAGCAGGTGCTCTATGATATGCGAAGCATCTTCAGCTCTGAGTACACCAAAAGTATCTCGTTATTTTAGACTTTCAAAGTAGTATTGATTTGTTTTGTACACCTTCACATATCACTTCCATGTGACACATAAAGCTTTCAAAGTAGATAATGAGTGTGTCTTTTTCAACTTGTCTCCAACCCATTCACACCATGTTGTCGCTGACGTAATTCTCAAATCACTTTTCAAATGGATGACGCCATCCATTGATCCACTTGTTCAGCAGACATAGACCTATCAAGATGACTTGTAAACCTATGTACTTAGACAAGATAAGACAATATGTCAACCGCATGGAATCTAGTGTAATTGACAAGCTGTCATTCTTCTGATCACTACGCCACCCATCAAGAGAACATTCTTCATAGCAAGGCAAAAGCTTTCAGTCCCATACTTTATTCCAGCAAACATTTCTAATCAGTCTTCTTCTGGTTAAATACCATTCCAGCTGACGTAGAAGTGCACCAATGCGTGTGTGATGGATATTGTAAACCAATTCAGCCGGTAAAGGTTCCCATTCTCTTCAGTTAATTTACTGTGTGTTGGCGTATTACAATATACTCATGCGTAGACTGAGTGGTGCTCGGGAGGCACAAACACGAGAGAGCCAGGCAGGCTTTAGACCAGGAAGAGGGTGTATTGATCATATCTTCACCCTCCGACAGATTCTAGAACATAGGAATTCCTACCGGCGTCCAACAGTCATTATATTTCTTGACCTAAAGGCAGCATTCGACTCTGTCGATCGGGAAGTTCTCTGGAGATGCTTGGCTGTAAAGGGAATTCCGAGAAAGTATATTGCACTGATTAAGGCACTCTATTCGTACTCATACAGCCAGGTGAGGGCTTACGGCGAGCTGTCATCTGAACTGATGACGACCAGTGGTGTCCGTCAAGGATGCCCATTATCTCCTTTTCTATTCAACTTCATCATAGATGTGTTAATGGACTTAACCCTAGGTGACTTCAGTGACTCAGGAATTGACTTTTTACCGGGCTATGAATAATCTCGTTGACTTGGAATATGCAGACGATATAGTCCTTCTAGGCGAAGACGCTGACGAAATGCAGATCCTTCTAAACACCTTGAGCCGCAATCTACAAATGTTTGGCATGCGATTCGCTCCCGCCAAATGCAAGATGATGTTACAGGACTGGACTACATCGACGCCTAGTTTAAAAATAGGAAGTGAAGTCGTAGAGCACGTTGACCGCTTTACTTATTTGGGAAGTACCATCAGCCCCAACGGGCTGATCTCTGACGAAATCTCAGCACGAATACAAGGGGCTCGTTTCGCATTTGTTAGTTTACGCCGACTCTGGCGTAGACGAGATGTTCGACTATCGACCAAAGGGCGGGTGTACTGCTCATCAGTCCGCTCCGTCCTCCTTTATGGTTGTGAGACCTGGCCACTGAGAGTGGAAGACATGAAAAGACTAGCTGTCTTTGATCATAAGTGCCTGCGTTCTATTTCCCGTGTAAAGTGGCATAATAAGGTGAGCAACATGGAGGTTAGGCGTAGAATTCTAGGTAAACAGGGGAAATCAATCGACGAAGTCGTGAAGTTACAAAGACTGAGATGGTTAGGACATGTGTTACGTATGCCAAGCCATCGCCTCCCTCGACGAGCAATGTTAGCGGATATAGGGTCAGGCTGGAAAAAAGCTAGCGGCGGTCAAACAAAAACTTGGCACCAGTCAATGAAATCCACAACAGTTGGTCTAAGCCACGTAGAAAGGTGTAGACTTCCAGGCTGGGGTCCTCGGGACGGTAAAAATCTGTGGTTGGAAACAATTGGTGACATGGCTCAAAATCGTTCTCAGTGATTGGCGCAGATGCATCCACTCCTTGTGACTTATGATCTCCAATGAAACTGTTTTGTTTTTCTTTATTACTCCTATGTCTCACACCTCTGCTCACTGTTTCTATTATGCTTTTCTTGTACTTTCTTCTCTTGCTTCGCGTGCTACACGGAGTGTGGCGACTTGAACTACCGCACATTTGTGCAAAGTTCTATGTCGAAAACAGACAGACAGACAATATACTCCACCCCGGCATTGCACGCATCTTGTATTTATTGCATATGTAGGACACGACTAGAAAAGTAGTCGCTTAAGTAACCAATCCATTCATAATGATAAACGAGCACATCACAATGTTGGGCTTTGCACAGATCTGCATCACTCCTAATTTCTACACTTCCATACAGAATTTGCGATATACATAGAGAAACGAGGGAGAACCCGGTTCTCTTGATTAATTTGAACGAAGCAAGAATTAGTATTTGTTTTCTACTCAACTTTGATTGATTGGACGGAAATGTTTGGCCTTTGTTAGTATATCGGCTTCGACGATTTCTGAGGATTAACATGAAACAACCTGATGGATGGTAACTAGCAGTGAAATCTAGGACGGGCATGTCGTCCTGTTTGGGACTCGTCAATTGGATGTATCTTTATTCCCTAGTGAATGATAGTTTTCCCACTGACCCAAGTGGTCTTGTAGACAACGCTGTCGCGTTTGAAATGATAGGCATTGGGTTCAAGTCCCAGGGGGAATACCATCACTCACAGAGGATTTCATTTGCATCCAGATGACGAGTTCCAAGTAGGAAGAAGTTCCAGTCCTGGATTCCGTTGCTAATCACCATCCACGAAATTACTTTAGGAACGAATTGATTTGCGAGATAAAAAGAGTTGATTCCTTTCAGCTACGAACCACCTAACAATGACATGATTTATTTCGAATGTAAGTGTAAATTGTTTCAACTCGAGAGGCATTTAAAAATTCTTAGCACAGTAATGGGACAAGAGATATGGATACAAGTTAGCTATCTAGCTTAAACAAGTAGAGTTTGTTTGTTCATAGTATAATGGAAAATTCAAGAGGAGAGGATGGGGGTAGAAAGATATGTTAAATAAAAGTTAAATTATTAAATAAACAAATAATTGGGTGAGTTAGATTTTATTAGTGAGTTCAACTCATACATCATGAGTCATGCATCATTGGTGTTTGAAAAACTCAATTTACCTCACATACTCATATAAAGTTTACTACGGATTACAAACGTGAAAAATTATTTCAAGATCGTATGACTAATCCCTCACTGCCTTAGTAACTAGATGTCTCATGTTCGTTTATGATTTTGTTGCGTCACAGTTTTTAGTGTTGATTTTTACTCGCTGAGCTGAAGTCATTAGTAATCTTTCAATTCACTTAACTATTTATTGATGTGATAATTTTGCTTTAACATATCTGTTCACTCTCACTCTTTCCTCTTGACCTTTACATCATATTGTGTATGAATAAAGTCTATTTGTTCAATATCAGTGACTATCGTCGTACAATTCTTTGCATGGTCAAACTTGAACACTTGTCACACCTCGTCTGTCCACTAACCGTGCTAAAAAATGTCCTTCAAGTTAAAATAATTTTGAAGTATGTTATATATTTATATTTCAGTTTTCATCACAGATTGACGTTAGTTGCGGAACCATTGAGAATCAGGAAGTATTGCACAGCTGTTTCTTCCTAGTTCGGGACAGCAAGTGCTAATGAACCCATCGAGGATGGAACTCAGGACCTTCATATTACGATACCAAACTTGTTCACCATTCAGTCACTTGAACTAGGACCCAATTGCTCTTGAGTTATGATTTCTACCAACTTGAGATTTTAGCTCGACCGCCAGCCAATTTTATCGGCGAGTTGACAGAAGTTAGAATTCTTGGGCCATTGGATTCTGACTAATGTGGCTAAATGGTAAACGAGTCTAGCGTCGTAACCTGGAGGTCCTGGATTTCGATGCCTGAATGGCTCATGGATGCCTACTGTTAATAAAGAGTTCCAGATAAGGTTCTGTTACTGACATCAATGTGTGATGTAATGCGAATCAAATCCAACCGGTGCAAACTAAATGTTACATATTTATGAAAAAGAGAAGACGTTCAGCGAAGAGACTCTTTTCGGCGAATTCATTCACATAACTGTACAATCGCATTTATATATAATTATTTGTGTGTGTGTACATGGAGTTCGTCAAGTTTAGATAATTGATCAGGTAATACAAGAATGATCTAAAATAGAAACAAGGTTAATCAGACAGCAACTAAAGTAAGATTGAGTTAGTAAGTTAGATGACGTAATATAATTGACTAAAATGTTTCAACTTAGGTCAGGGTAGGAACAGAGGTAGTTACAGGTAGAGACTAAGTAGAAGTGGGGTAGAGAATAATGCCATTTAAATTAGAACTGAAACTGAGCGTTGTTCAAGTCAGTAACAGTGGTACTGAGGTGTAGAAATTAAATCGGGTGGGGGTAGAGAACAAGAAAGTTGAAAATGCTAAATATTACAATTGAGAAGAAAAAATAATACTAATGAAGAGACAGAAGAAAAAAAGGGATTAGGTAGAATTCACTTGTCAGGTAATAAGATAGGTTATGTCCATTGCAACGTGAATTCATTGAACGAACTTCTTCTGTATGCAGAGTTCAGGACTTAGCGAGTGAATCGCCATTGCTTCTGCAGTTTGAAGAAGTCTGATTTCTACACCTTTAGGAAGACTACTTCTTACTCTGTAAACAACTTTGAAGTTTGTTTGCGGTGTAGCTTGGTGTCCGGATTCTGTCAGATGTTCTAAGATGGAGCTGCGGGGGCGTCGATTTTCTCCTTTGTAAAACCATGTTGGTAGGCGTTTGGTGATATGTTTGGAAAGCGAACGCTGGATACGGCCGACATACCTGGCTACACACGACCAAGTGAATTGATAAATACACATTGATGAGGCCAACAGTGGTAGGTTATCCTTCACGTTCACATGAATCATAGGTTTT